TGATTCTATGTTTGCAATTAATGTATATTATTGCAAATAAAATTATTTTAAATTAGAGAATGCAGAGAATTTATCGTGAATCACAATTATATAAAAAAGCAAAAAAGAGAATCAAGGGAAGTAATCGAGAATCAAAATTATATAAAAGCAAAAGAGGATCAAGAGAAGTAATTGAGAATCAAAATCATATAATCTGTAAAAGCAAAAGAGGATCAAGAGAAGTAAAAGAAAACCAAGAGTAGTAATAGAAAATCAAGAGAAGTATAAGAGAATCAAGAGAGAATCAAGAGCATCAATAGAGAAGCAACAGAGGACCAAGAAAATTAAAAGAGAACTAAAATTTTGACTCGGGAAGTGCAGCAAAAGTTTATCATATATCGCTGTTTCAGATAAACATTTTTTTCCATCTAAATTATTAGATTCAGAAATAAGATCTATAACCTTTTTTTTTTGTTTCTCTAAAAATGTTATAACCTATTCTAATTTTGTAGTATCACTAATATCGTATCCTATTTCCAAATGAGAAAAAAAAACAACCGCATAAGAAATTCTCCTCACTACTCACTTGACAAATTTCAGGAAACGATATTGAAATAGGAGAGTATACGAACACATATCTTGGCAATGGTCGCAAATGATTTCCATTGAGCTGAGCTGACATGAAAAATATTATTGGTAGCAGCCGTATGAGAAGGGTTCGAAGCTCAAAGTCTGGAAGTAAATAACGAAAGCAAAAGGCGATGAAGGCATGGGTGGTCGAGAGAGTTTTGCTGTGTGTGAGCGCGCGCGACTTCAAGGAAAATGTTTCTGCGCGTTTAGGAGAGTATATTATAGTCAGAACGAAGTTTGTTACCTAAGAAAGTCACTTCCAAGAAGGCAAGCAATGCTTTTTGGATGTTGTCACAAGACTGGACATATATGTATACATATATAATTTAAACCGCACAAATCGAAAATAGTGTTTGGGAATAGAAATTCATGGGCGCTATTTCTCCACCGCGACAGATGGCTCGCGTCAAGATTCGCATCCGTATATATATATATATATATATATATATATATATATATATATACCCGTACCGCGACACTTGTATTTCTGTCCAAAGCAGTATAAACAAACTTGCAAGTGACGATCCAAATCCCCAGCCAGAAATAACATTCCATTCGACTGTTGATCATCGCAAATTCAAATATCGAAATTTTTTTACAAATTTTCATCATTTAGCGAAATGTATATATGTAAATATACTAAGGAAAATTTTTTGTTATAATATCGGTTGCTTCACTGAGAGAACAAAATAGTTGGGTCAAATAATATGTTACTAATACTATTTTGTTTAGTAAACTGCTGCTAATTCTATAGTTAGGGATAACATTTGTAACAGTAAAACATTAAGGGGACTTTCTGGTTTAGAATTGACAAAAAAGGAAGATTTTAAAACTTTTATTGTAAGAACAGTATTAAAGAAATTGTAAAAACTATTTTTGGACATTGTAGCACATTGCGTAGAGAAAATTTAAAAAATATGTTTGAGTGTATTTAGTTTAATTTCATAGCTGTAGGTGGCGTCTTCCAAAAGATACCTTTTTTTGGTACGTTAGTTTCCGGGCAACCTGTAATACATAAATTCAAGTTCCAAACGGGAATCTCTTCATAAGGATTTATTCTGGGGCCTAAACCTCAAAAACGATTTTTTTAAAGGTTTTTTTATTTTTTATGTACATTTTTCTCAAAAACTAACAAAAACGCCATGTTTTTGGGTCAATTTACCTCCATATAAAAACACAGGGGGTAGAAATATGAGTTTTTAGAGGTTTAGGCCCCAGTTTTTTAAATAAAGAATCGAAAAATTTTTGGGATTTCAAAATCGGTTCGGTAGATTTCGAGAAAAGCTCTGTACCAGTTTGAAAAATGAGTTTTCCAGAAAAACGCGTTCAAAGTTTTTATAACATAGTTCATTGAGTCATGAATATTAAACAACTTTTTATTACAACAGAACTTCGTATCCCGCTGTTTTTAGGGTCGCTGATTACGAATTTGATGTCAGTTTTTGAAAATACAAAATGGCGGATCTAATATGTCGGACAAAAAAAAATAAAAATTGAACCGAATTTGCTTAAAACTTGTTACTCGGAGGTTTTTGGGGTCGCTGATTACGAATTTGATGTTCCTAGAACGATAATGTTTTGTGCCTATGTTCATAACTAGCAATCTCAAAAGGCCACAAGTAACCATTTTCAACTAAATTTAATTAATTTCTTAATCTTTGTCCACCATATTAGATCCGCCATTTTGTATTTTCAAAAACTGACATCAAATTCGTAATCAGCGACCCCAAAAACCCCCGAGTAACAAGTTTTAAGCAAATCCGGTTGAATTTTTATTTTTTCGTCCGCCATATTGGATCCGCCATTTTGTATTTTCAAAGACTGACATCAAATTCGTAATTAGCGACCCCAAAAACCCTCAAGTAACATGTTTCAAGCTAATATCAATAAAAGAGGAACACCAAATATGTAAATAAGATAACTGTAGATTGTTGTTGAAATACATACCGTCATAAATATTGTTATAACTTTTGTTTTTGTACATATTTTTTAAAAAACGTTTTGGGACAGTAATTCTATGATACTATGGAACATTTTTAAGCAAAAAAAAAAATCGATTTTTTTGAAATTCTAAACCAGAAAGTCCCCTTAAATAGTTGTCGTTACCATTTTATTAGTAAGGGGAACTTATTTTTGTTAGTACCAACAAATAATAAATATTGTAACAGATAAAATTTAGTAAGTTAACATTACTAATAAAATTTAGGTAAGCTTACTAATAAAATAGCTAATTCGATAAATAAAATACTTACAATCGCAATTATTTATTTAATATTATTCACATTCACAAAAATTTGTTTATTATAACGTTAATATAACTTCCTTGTTGTACGAAGTGAGATATATTAAACCCTACTTGAAAAGATTCCCCGTAAAGTGCCCCCTGGAAGTTCTACCAGAATTCCGCCGGAACTTCCAACGTAATTTCGTCGGAATTCCATTGGAGTTCCAAAAAATTTCCGATGGGATTCTGACGGAATTAGGACTCTAAAAATTTTGAAAAAAATTAATCGGAATCCCATCGGAAATTCTTTGGAACTCTGATGGAATTCCGACGGAATTACGTTGGAAGTTCCGGCGGAATTCTGATAGAACCTCCAGGGGGCACTTTACGGGGAATCTTTCCAAGTGGGAACATATTCTTTGTATGATGCGAATAATAATAAATGAATTTTATAGGTTAGGTTTATTGTTTAAATTGTTACTTACATTCAAAACGATCTACATATTCTTTAAACTCCCATATGAGATTAATATCTCTCGCAAATCCATGACACTTTTTTAACACTCTGTAAAATAATTTATAATTTATATATAGAAATTAAATAATTATATAAAATGTATAGGAACGTAAACACAAATGACCACGTTTTCTCACGACATTGCTTGACGAGCATGAGCGTGCTTCACAGTGTTGCCAACCGAATTGCTAACAATTGCCAACCACGAGGGGTGAAACGCAATGTAAAAGTGAAGGCAGAACACTATACTAGTCGTTGAGTAACTACAACAATAATCCTACACTTGACTTTAGCAGTTTTCGGTGGCAAATGAAGCGGGAAATTTAAATTCAATTTAAATTTAGTTTTCAAAGTAAAACACTGCAATAAAAAGAAAACATGAAATTTACCAACTAATTTCAATAAACAAATCTAATATTTAAAAAATTATTTTAAATTTAGAATAATATAAGGAAAAAATGACTGAAAAGTGAATTTATTATCTATTTTAATTTAATATTTCATTATCAATTTTTTCAAAAAATTATACATAAAAATTATTTATTTATAATATAAATTTCATTATATTACTTACAATAATAGCTGGAAATAAGCTTCGAATTAAATTTTCATTCAACAAAATACCACAGAAAAAAAACTAAATCACAAAAGAAAATTACAACATCTTAAATATTATTCAGTGATATAAAATCTATTTTGCTTTGATTCTTATATTTTTAATATTTTTTTGCGAATATATTTTTGAAAATTTTTTTTACGTAATATTTTAACATGACAATTAAATTACATTCATTAAATTAAAAAGAAATTAAAAAAAAAAATATTTTCTAACCTACAAAATTTTTTAATGCAGTCATGAAGATGTATGAATTTACCAAAATTTTCGAATTATAAAATTGCTATTTACTGACGATTATTATCAATTGGTTATTATTTCCCGTTTACTAATTATAAATACTTGCGGTTGACACCAAAAAAATTGAAATTCACTAAAAAATATTACTAAATTTTACTAACTAAATAGGTAGAAGAATAAATATCTCCGTTACTAAAAAAGAGTTGTAGCCCCAACCATTCATTTCTCTCAGTGTGCAGAAACAGGGTATCTTCAAAAATCAATGAAAACTGTTTTTCTTGATTCTTGATTCGATAATTGATATACCAATATTGGAATTATTTTTTAGAAATAATTCGGAAATTGTCAAATAACATTTGTAAACAAACAGGGTTGGGAAGGAAGAACCCAAAATATGTTCGTTCATAGCAGAGTTGGATTGGTTTGTAATTTTGTTCAACAATAATTTTCAGAAAGTGTTGTTTTTAACTGTATTACATTGTGAACACAGCCTAAACAGTTAAATACACTTTCCAAAAATTATAATTGGACAAAATTTCAAACCTACCCAATATTGGACGAACATATTTTAGACTCCTCTGCTTCTCAAATCTATTGTTTACAAATATTATCTGAACACTTAAGATTTTATTTTGCGACTGGAAATTAATTATTGCATTAATTGACAATGCATGAAAAATATATTTATCAATTGCGCAATGTTTAAATTTTGTTCATTTATAATTAAATTATTGATAGTCATTTGAACCATAAAAATAATTAAAAAATTTAAACTATTGTAATTACGAACTTACCTTAAATCTTCTTCTGCTGCTGCTGCACGGAAAAAAATTTGTTGTGTCAACCTCAACTCCAATAATCTAGAAAAAATAAATTGTAAAAACTGTACTGTAAAAAAAGAAAATAGTGTTTCCAACATGCATATATGTTTGGGCAAATCACAAAACAATCTATGTTTTTTTTTCACAAAAAATTTTCGTATTCGCCAAAAAATTTTGTTTTGATTATACAAGGAAAATTAATGATAATGTATACGTTAATAAAATTTGAATACAATTATTGTGAAATTATATATTTTATTAAAGAATAGTTAATGGATTATAATTACCATCATCATTGTCTCTGGAATCGATCTCTTTGGTATATATATATATATATATATATATATATATATAAACGACTCATCGAGAGGAAACCCCAGGGGCACTTCGATTGGCATATACACCTTGTTGCACCTGTGTATAATGTAGTTCCTTTTGCGCTCATCAAGAGTGTTGTGCACGAAAAAATCAGCGAAGCAGTCGATAATAGCTTTCACTAATGGGGGGAGGGGACCACCCAATTAGAGAAGCTTTAGCGAACAATATCAAGGAACAGGTTGATTCTTGGAAAGTCCGAGACGATTCTTCGATACGCCATGGGTTTTCTGCGTATATACAGGATCATCATCGTTTCTTCGCTAAATCTATCGCCAACAGCGAAGCTAAAGCAATCTTTATTTATATATAAAGTATGTTTTATCACTAGGTACCCCGTTGCTCATTTAGATGACAGACACTAGCGTAAGGTATATATATCCCATTCCAAGTGACGTAATTTTAAAATCTTTAATTTACGTGCAGAACGAATAAGGTCATGCCTAATTTTCAGTCGGCAATAGATGTCCATTATTCCAAGCAATACTGATTCGTTTCTCTCTCATTATATTCTTCTAAGAGTAATTATAAATATCTACGGAAAGTGAAATACAAAAGTTTGATAAAAAAACACTAATTTATAATGTTTTTGATTAATTTTACAGTCACACAAAAAAAATATCATGTGCGGCAGACCCGAGTAGCCAATCCGAGTACAAAAACAAATTTTTTGAAAAAATTTCTACCATTTTGAATTTCTAAACTCTGACTTTAGATTTGTAATTACCCAGACAGCACGTAAGCTTGCAGCAACCTTGCGGCAAGCTTGCTACGCAATATTGCCAACCTTGCACCTTGCTGCAAGCTTGCAGCCAGCTTCACTTGTCCCACCTAACCCAGGCTTGCATGATAAGATTGCCGAAAGATTGCAGTGTAAGGTTACTGCAAGATTGCATGATAAGATTAACACAAGCTTGCATAGTAAGCTTGCACGGTAAGCTTGTGGCAAGATTGGTGCAAGGTTGCCAATAACCTTCCCCAATCAGCACAGAAGTAAATTTCTTTAACCTCCCAGGAATTGGTGCTCAATTTATGTATACAAAAATAAATTTCCTTCTCCAAAAAAATTTTTTGTTATATTCCGCAAGCTTGCTCCAAGGTTGCGACAAGCTTACCGTGCAAGCTTACTGAGCAATCTTGCGATAATTTTACTGTGCAATCTTGCAGTAACCTTCCACTGCAATTTTTCGGCAAGCTTACCATACAAGCTTGTATTAGGTGGGACATTTGAAGCTTGCGGCAAGCTTGCCGTGAAAGGTTGGCAATATTGCGCGGCAAGCTTCCCGCAAGGTTGCTGCAAGCTTACTTGCTATCTGGGCAGATGCATCATACTTTTTTTGTGGGGCTGTTTTTTATTTCTACAGTTCATCAAAGTAGTAACCATCGCTTTTCCATAAGGGTGAAAATTATTTGGTTTTGGAAAAGAAATTTGGTTTTTTTTTTATTGGAAAAGCGACTTTTCTTGGTTTTTACTCTGGACAGCAGAATTGAAGTATTTAATTTCCTATTACAATGGGAAATTATATAAATGTCCCTGATACAGTAATTAATTTTTGAATCCGGTTAGTAATGATAAAAAAAAGATCAAAAATAAAAGATGATACATACTCTAAATCTGAATCAGTGAAAATTTCACTAACTTCAAATTAGTGGCTCAGTTTTGTTTAATTCCACTGTTTAATTAAAGAAAACTGATCCACTGATTTGAAGTTAGTGAAATTTTCACTGATTCAGATTCAGTGTATAAAAAATACAGAATACGATTAAAATTATATATAGCAAATTTAAAAAAAAAATTAAAGAACTAAAATCGGGATTTTCAATACCATAAGACTTGTGGATTTTTGTGAAGAAATATGTGTGTGTGTGTATTTTAATGGCTCAATTTGTTTTGTCCCATATTTTCTTGGCGGCGGGTTTCAAACTTCCTGGCAATATGTTTTACCCTCTCTCAAAGAGAGCGACTTTTTCATAGACTTATGAGCTTTCTTTGCAAACGGCAGTTTCTCGAATATACACTTTGGTCTATTGCTTCGCTTCAATATATATGTATATAGACGATGTTAAGACGTATGTCTTGCAGGCTTGTGGCATCGAAGAGAGTCACGTCGTCCAGACGTATATGACGAGAATAGCATATAATGTCGATAATCTGTAGAGGTTCGAAGAAATGTAGGTGCCGTTGTAAATTGAAGGAGCGACAGGCCATAGCCCGCGAGAATATATATCTGGCATCTGCAGTTCATATAATAGTATACTGTAACACAAAGAACATAAGGCACACAAAAATTAGTAATTAAGAATCTATATCCATGAAAATAAATTTCAATTTAATAATTAATTTTTCAAAAAAGGTATAAATATCCCATACACCGTCAGGTTTATTTTAAGTTCGAGATTAATGTTTAAATACACAGGTGTTTACGTTAAATTTGTTAACATATGAAGTTAACAGTTCGCTTTCAGTAATTGTATTAACTATGTTAAAAACAAATATAACATCAAAATCCAAGGCAAAATGTCACATAACATAGGTTAAAAACGAACATAACCTTAAAATCTAAGGCCATAGTAACTTATGCCATAGTAACTTATGCCATAGTAACTTATGCCATAGTAACTTATGCCATAGTAACTTATGCCATAGTAACTTATGCCATAGTAACTTATGCCATAGTAACTTATGCCATAGTAACTTATGCCATAGTAACTTATGCCATAGTAACTTATGCCATAGTAACTTATGCCATAGTAACTTATGCCATAGTAACTTATGCCATAGTAACTTATGCCATAGTAACTTATGCCATAGTAACTTATGCCCATGAAGTAGTATAAGGAGCACTCACTCTATAGGCAGTTTTTGAAAATTCTTCCCCAGCCTTTCCAGATTTAATAGAAGCATATACATATCCCCGATACTAACAACCCTAGCGGAAAAGTGAGGCATTGGTACATTGTTATATATAAGTGTTTGTGTATAACTGTCAGTTAGCGTTTTTTTTTTTTGAAATGTTTTTGTTGCGAGTTAATTTTGTGTATAATTATAAATATAAATTACGAAACATAATTGATAACAAATATTTTAAAAATCTAAATTATATATTTGTATATAAATAAGCAAAAACTTACCAATTTTCAAATAATCGGAGATATGTAATTTTGGATTTATTCTCATGCAGGGGGCCTATATGTTTAACGCAAGCATTGAGTGCTCCTTACACTACTTTATGATTGTTAAAAAACAATTTCTCAGTTTTGAGGTTATGTTAACGTGTACCATTCTTTAATAACAAATTAGAACATTTATTAGAGATGGTACAGTTTATATAGAGTACTTTTCAGCTCATTGTACAGCTCGTTTGTTCACCATATAAACTTCTTTTTTGTATATATTGACTTAAAGAAAACCGCAAAATCATTGTTCATTTATCAGCAGCTGACCTGCTAAACAATATTTCATCATCGCTTGGCATTTATTGGCAGCTTTTCACTCTTCATGTTGAGTGTCGGATGTCCATTTTGTATTCTTATAATATATATTATTTGACCAACTAAAATTTCCTATATATACTCTTTGTTGGTTTTTTTTTCTTCTTATTGTCATCTATATTTATTTATTTTTTAAATAGGCTAACTGCGGCTCAAAATTTCTACGAAATTCTTGAAAGTAAATAAAAAAATAAATAAACAGAGATATACTAATATCAATAAGTAAAAGCAAAAATTATTATTGTTAGCAGCAATAAGGACTTGCTACTTGTTTAGTTTTTAACTAAAAAACTGGAAATCAAAAAGTATTTTTAAATTAGCTAATCTCTGATCCGAATCATAAAACAGAAGTGATTTTGAATTTTGTTTTGACTCTTATGAAAATTAAAAAAAATCAAAAAGGTGTAAGAAAAATTTGGAAAATTGCGATTAAATAATAATTACAATTCTATAGAAATTTGATGATGACCTCGATGCTGTGATTATTAATATTATTTCAATACCCGCACTCTAGAAATATGCTCCTATTGTTTCTTGTGTGCGTCCACACAATGATATCACGGGTAAACGGATACTAATGATCCCACAACGTCGAAAATCGGCAAAACGAGCCAATAATTGCGGCTGTCATTATCTCGTGAAAAGCACATCGTCATTGTACTACCAGTTTGTATCGATTCGATTTTTCGCTAGATATATATATATATATATATACATATATAAATCCCGTGTTCAATTAAAATTCTGTTATACAGAAAGTTTCTCTCAACTGAAAAATTTTTATTAATATATTTATTAAATTTACGCTTTATTAAAATTATGTTAATTGAAAATTTCATAAAATGAAAAATCCTCTTATGAAAAATTGACTATTATATAAACTATAATCCGAGGGAAAATTGAAATGTGGACCTAATAGGGCTCTGACCAGTTTACCTTTTTTTTAATGTGGCCCTTTTAAGAGAAACTAACTAGTGCCCTCACGGTGCGCCAGAAAGTGGTTTAAATAAAAATGAATTGGCACTTAAAAATTCTTTTTGATTATAATTCTTAGATGAATAACAAACATTTCTCAATAGTTTTTAAAATCAGTTTACGTGCCCGATTTAAATAAAATTGAGTTTTTATATAACAACAGTGTTTTATGGGGAATCAGAATTTATTTAATCTAATAAATACTGTAATAAATGATAAAATAATTACTTATTTTCAATTTTACATATAAATAATTATATTGCTGTAGTGTTTGTGTCCGATTTAAAAAAAATTAAATTATAATGTTAAAAGAATGATTTTAAGAGTGACAAAATTTATTTAAGAGAATCGAATGGTCTCTAAAATTTTTTGGCAAGAAGAGACCTTTAATTATCGCTCTATAAAAACGGCACTAAACGTGAAAATGATAAACATTGATTTTAAAATACTTTCTTCTCGAAAGACGGACACTTTTTACAAAAGCAGCTAGAGATCGTTATCTTATATAAATTTCCTAAATCCGAAAGATTGTGCGAATCCATACAAAAACACGATTGCAAAACGAAAAGTAATATAATGACAGGTACATTACCTCCTGCCGCCGTCAGATGGCAGCAGCATGCAGGGCGCACAAAGTCGCAGCTGTTATTAGATTACTTTTCTACTTTTTGTTTTACAACCATGTTTTTCTATGGATTCATACAGTCTTTTGGATTTAGGAAATTTATCATATGAGGATTTTGGCTGATTTTGTTAAAAGTGTTCGTGTTTCGAGAAAAAAGTATTTTAAAATCAATACTATTTCACGTTGAGAGCGATAATTAAAGCTCTCTTCGTGCCAAAGAATTTCAGATACCGTTCGACACTCTTAATGCATTAATAAAAAAAGGAAACAAGAAAATAACTTCATTGTTAATAAATTTATATGAACCCAAATCTAAAACATCTATTATCTATACGCATATAAGTATAAATTAAATAAATTTTGGTTCCTCATAAAATACTATTTTTAAATAATTAAAACTCAATTTGTTTTAAATTGGGTACGTAAGCTGATTTTAAAACCTATTGAGAAAAGTTATTTATTCATCTTAGAACCAAAATCAAAAAGAATTTTTAAGTGCCAATTCATTTTTATTTAAACTTCCTTCTGGCGCACTGTGGTCTCCTAAAAGGCTGTTACGCTTTTTTCAACCAATAACCCATCAGTTAGGGCAAAACTTATCAGAATTTCGTCGGTTTTTCTTTAAACTATATTTTTAAAATTTTCTTTCAATGAAAAAAATTATTTGAGTAAATAAAAAAGTGATGGATACATTCCCTATAAAATTTTAGAGCAAAACATATGTGACGCGCTCTAAAGAAAGGAACCTTATATATATAGAAACAAACGAATTTAAGTTATTTTTACGGTAATTTTACCTTAATTTAAAAGTTTTTTTTTTACTTTTGTAAAATTAAAATCAGTTTTTATTAAATATTTTTCCTAATGAAGATTTAAATAAAAATTATTTCTATCCAAAGTTGATTCTCTTTATTTATTTTCAATTAAAAATTTAAAAACATAATCTATATTTTTTTTGCTTCTAAGGTCCCTTTCTTTAGAGAGCGTGTCACATATAAAAAATATTGTTTGCAAATTTTTTTTTCAAAGAATTATCACAACTTTCGCCCTTTTCGTATATATATATATATATATATGTATAAATTTGAAAGGCGCGCAAATCCTCCTTCAAAGTGCTCATACCACATGAGAGTTTCTTTTCTATAGGGAGTTCATCCCCTGTCACGATTCTATTTTTTCTTCTTTCCACATGGCCCGCTTCTTTCTTCGATTACGTCGTCGTGTGTTCCTCCCGAAAATAAGTATATCTCTCCCCGATAACACCTACTTTTACATATATGCATCTCAGAAGCCAGATCCATTTTATCTTCTCTGTTATACGTATATCTGCCTATTTATATTTTCCATTATTATTATTATTATTATTATTATTATTATTATTATTATTATTGTTGTTATTATGCAAAAGCAGGTATAACGAAAATGGAACATTCTTTTGTTGGTATATGGAATGATCAAGGCCGTCACACGATTTCAATTGAGGTATTTTTCTTATTTTGACTGAGTGATACAGAGCGGATGTTGGATCGTTTTATAAAAGTTTACGAAGCCTTTAAATGTTAAACGTTTTTACCCAAAGATTATAACATACAAGTGACCGCAATTTAAAAAAAAATTCATTGTCCAAAGTGTCGGTGCCAAGTATATATATATGTATATATACATATATAGCACATGGACATTCTGTGAACTATATAACTTCACATAGCGTGTCTATGTTACATTTACTTAAGCAAAGAAACATTAATAGCGTCCGTTTTTTATATCGGATGCCATATGCACGGAAATTGTTATACAAGGATGTTGACTATATAGGTTTTCTTCAGTTTGGTACATGTTGTATAATAATCTGTCATATTATATTATTCTGATAAAAAAAACGTGAATTCAAATATTCTTTATTTTACATTGAAAAAAAAATTTTTATTTGATTCAAATAATCGATTACTTGAGTATTATCAAATAAATATTTATTTTTAACAAACTAGGGGGGTTTTTGCCCCCTGCGCACTTCACGCGCCAACCTCCCATTTTTTATTGTTTTTATAGATGGCCTTATGACTGCTATTTTGAGTTTATATTTGTCCAATTTCTAGAATTTAAAACTATTATTAATATTTTATTATTTTTTTTAAATGTTATTTATAATTTTTATTATTTTTAAT